TGATTTATTTGTGATGAGATATTTGCGAAATATTCAAAGGTGCAATCATTATGCTTCACCCGGTATATTTAAAATATTTGAACTTCAGAAAAATTACTGATATTTTCAACAAAGTTCTATTCGAAATGACAGAAATTAAACTTTTATCTGATCTGTAAATATGTTTTTATCGTAAATCGATAGATAATAGGCAACTATCTGACACTGAAAAAAAGGTAAGTCTATCAATAGCAAGAAGTGTTAACTCATGAGGTGCTATGACATCATAACAACATTCTCTCAATTCGGAGAAATGTGACTGAAAGAAATCTGATTCCGTAAGACTCGAATATTTTTGTTCATTAGAACCAAACCATAGAATAAGCATTTTTGATCTGATAGAGAATGTTTACCCTTCAAGGAATATATCAATATTCAAAAGTTGAGTTAATACAATGAACTACGTTTTGAAATTTCTAAGATTTTGCTTATTTCTCAACTGTTGTTCCTTTTTTTCAAGGAAAAATACCCTAGTTAACCTACTGATGAATAAATGTGTATCTAAAAGTTGTTTTCTCAATTTTATATATTGGACATCTTCTAGCGGAAACAAATGCAACAATTAAGTACGAAAGAAATCTAGAAATGGAACTTCTATCTGCATTTGAGTAATTTTTTAGATATAGATTTAAATTTTATTTTTCTTCAAATCAAACTTCATGGAAAGATTACTTGTCTAGATAAAAAACACTTATTTATTAATTCTCCAATTTTATTTATTTATCTTACTGTAAACAAACAGAATATTTGGCCAATACTCCCATCGACTAATGCACATATCCCATTGATGATATAAGTTGACAAGACATCTGAATGAGTTGACAATATCATCGAAATCTAATGGTTGATCAAACTTTAACAAAGATATATGAAAATCAAATTTTTTTAAATAAGGTACATGACTTGTTAACATCTCTTGCCAATTTTGTCCATGAATCAAATCCATAATAAATGGTGAAAGACTTCGATCACGAATAAATGTAAAAACAAATTGATAAAGATTTGGCATACAATGGAGAATAAGACCAATTGAATAAATATCACATGGAGCCATAACTATTTGTAAATCGAACGATTTTAATAATGATGATATTGGAAGATCATTTTCATTAATAAATGGAAGATTAGGCAAACTTAAAAGAAAAGATGCATATTTTTCAGGCTCAAATAAATTAATGGATTTAAATCATTTTACAAAATAATATATAGACTTACTTTGTATTATAAGCCCCCATCACATGTGTACTTTTGATTGTCACACAAAGAGTTCGTAATGCACGATGAATACGAAGCAAAGGAATAAGAGAATAAATCGATATATCATTTAATGTACCATAAAAGATTATTTGCAAATGTGTAAGATTTGTTGTAACTTTTGATATTGTTGCAATTTGAGTATGATTATAATGAAAATAAAGAGAAGTTGAGCGAAGTGTTGATGGCGTATCTATCAAAATCAATTGACTAAATTCAAATGCATCAGATGTATTAAGTTTATCTTCTTTAACATTACAAGATTGAATTATACGAAATAAAACGATTTTTGGTAATTTTGATAATTTTTCAACAACAATTTTTAATTTAGATGATGAATTAATTGAATAAAATATGCATGAATGAAGATTGATAAAATCATGTCGATGAAAAAGATATACAATAACATTTGTTTGATCACAAATTTGATCATGAACTTGTAATGAAACAACTTGATCAGAATGAAATTTCAAATGATTACACAAAAATTCAAGTTCATGACGACAATAAGTTCGATGGATGTTGACATGAAGAGGAATAGAATTGAGAAGTAAAGAGATACGTAAGTTAAGTGAAGTAAATCCAAAAAAAATATCATTTGCATCTAAGTACTCGAATATATCCAAAAATATTTCATTTGATAAATCTTCCAATTGAGTACGAATAGTCATTTTATTCGTTATCGAGCATATAATCATGCATATAAGTATGTTGTACATGCACAGAATAACAAAATGATGGACTCATCGATTATAACAGGCGAACTGACCATTGT